TTTTTTTTTGTGTGTAACAATAATGTATGTATATTATGTGATATTATGCATGTGTAATGGGTGTCTATGTAACATAGTATATATTACATATATTGCATGCATACATATATTATGTACATGATCATATATTGCATGGCATATATAATATATATCACATTTTTTTATCCATTTTTCTGTTGGTGGGCCAGTAGGTCACTTACAAGATTTAGCTACTACGGGTTGGGCTGCTATAAGCATGAGTACACATGTATCACTGTAATGAGTTATCTTTAACTCTTTCAGAAAGGCCACAAAAGATGTATACCTGAGTCAAATGAAATTTCTATTAGTTTTTTGAAGAATCTCCATACTGATCTCCATAGTGGCTATACAAGTATATATTTCTATCAACAAGGTAGAACGCCCTTTTCCCCCCACAACCTCACCAGCACTTTTTGTTTTTTGAATCCTGATGATATCCATTCTTACTAAAGGAAGATGGAATCTCTCTCTGTTGTTTTGATTTTCATTTCTCTAATGAGCAAATGCTCACCCTTTTTTCATGTACCTATTGGCCATTTGTATTTGTTCTTTTTTTTTTAATCATTTTTTATTTTGGTGCCAGGAATTGAACTTGGGTCCTTGTGCTTGCGAGGCAGGCGGCAGAAACACTGAGCTAAATCCCCAGCTATATTTGTTCTTTTGAGAAGAAAATTCATTTCTATTGTCCATGTTTTGACTGAGTCTTTTGTTGGGGGGGCCTGATTTTTTCAATTTTTTAATATATTATAGATGTTAGTCCTAGCAAAAAGTTTTTCCTGTTCTTTCTATTGTCTCTTCACTCTACTGGTTGTTTCCTTTGCTGTGCAAAAGCTTTTAAATTTGATGTGAACACATTTGTTGGTTCTTTGTGCTATTTCTTATTGTTGCTTTTTAAGATAGGGTCTATGTAGTTCATGCTTGCCTTGAACTATGTAACACACACTGACCTCAAACTCACAGTGATCCTCCTGCCTCATCCTCTCTAGTCCTGGGATTATAGCCTTGCACCACCATGCCCGGCTCTTCCTGCTATTTCTTCTGTGATTGGGGTTCTGTTCAGAAAATCCTTGCTCATGTTGGATTTTTATCATAGGTTTTTTCCTGATCTATTGAGATGATCATATAATTTTTATCCTCACTTCTATTTATGTGATATATTACCATTATTGATCTCTGTATGTTGAACCATCCTTGCACCACTGGGATAAAGCCAACTTGGCCATGTTTGACCTTTATAATGATCTGTTGTACTCTGTTTGCAAATATCTCATTGGGGATTTTCATAGCTATGTTCATTAAGGAGAATGACCTGTAGTTTTCTTTTTTTGTTAAATCCTTGTCCAGTTTTGGTATTAGGATAATAGCTTCCATGAATGAGTCTGGCAGTGCTCCTTTCCTTTCAATTTCATGGAAGAGTTTGAGAAGTATTGGCATTAGACCTTCTCTGAAATTCTGGTAAAATTCTGCAGTGAACCTATCAGGTCCTAGGCTTTTCTTAGTACCTTGATTTTAATGCCTGTTATTGGTCTATTCAGGAGTTTTGTTCTTGGTTCAATTTTGGTAATTCATATGTGTCACTGAATTTATTCATTTCTTCTAGGTTGGAATATAAATCTTCAAAATAGTTTCTTATAATCCTCTGGATTTCATCAGCATCATTGTGATTTAGTGTTTTTAATTTCTAATTGCATTGATATGGGTTCTTTTCTGCTTTTGGTAAGCTTGGCTAGGAGTTTACCAACCTTGCTGATCCTTCTGAAGAACCAACTCTGTTTGTTTGAGAAAGGGTCTCACTATGTGATTCAGTTTGGCCTCAAAGTTATGATGATCCACCTGTCTCAGCCTCCCAAGTGCTGGAATTACAGGCATGTACCACCATGCCTGGCTCAAAGAACAAGCTCTTTGGTACACTAATTCTTTGTATTTCTTTTTTATTTCCACTTAATTAATTTCTGCTCTTTTTTTGGGGGGGCTACTGGGGATCGAACTTGGGTCCTTGTGCTTGCGAGGCAGGCAGCAGAACCACTGAGCTAAATCCCCAGCCCTCTGCTCTCATTTTTGTTTCTTTCTTTCTACTACTCCATGCAACTGGAACCCAAAAGCAAGTAGGAGTAGCTATCTCATTTTCAAACACAGCAGACTTCAAGCCAAAACTGATCAGAAGGGATAAAGACAGCTACTGCATACTAGTAAAGAGAACAATTCAACAGGAAGTTACTGATTGTAAATGTATATGCGCTGAATATTGCCACCCCTCACTTCATAAAACAAAAACTAATGAACATAAAAGGAAAGACAGACACCAAAACAATCACAGTCGTGGAACCCAATACTCCACTCTCACAAATAGAAAGGTCAACAAAATTTTAAAATGAACAAAGAAGTATAAGAGCTAAACCACACCATTGAATAAAAGGCTTTAACATTTCTAGAGTGTTTTATTCACCAATGACAGAATCCATGTTTTTCTCAGCAGCACCCAGAACTTTTTCCTAAATATACCATAGCTTAGGCCATAAAATATGCTTAAATAAACCCAAAAGAATTAAAATAATCCCCTGCTTACTACTGGCTCATAGTTGAATAAAGCTACAAGTCAACAGCAAAAGAAGCCACAGAAACTATGCTAACACATGAAGACTAAATAATACATTATTGAATAATCAACGGACCTCAGAAAAATAAAAAAGATCCTAGAATTACATTTAACTGTAAGCATAACATACCAAAACCTACAGACACAATGAGAGCATTTCTAAGAAAGAAGTTATATACCTGTAAATATGCATATAAAAATAATAAAATGGTCTGAAATAACCTAAAGTCGCACCTCAAGATCCTAGGAAAACAACAATAATCCAAATACAAAAGTAGTAAACCTTTTGTGTATGTAGATGCCCAGTTGTTCCAGCACCATTTCTTGAAATGACTACATTCTCCAGGCGTTGTCATTGCTCTTTTGTCATGATGAGGTGACGATATCTATGTGACACTATTTCTGAGTTCTACAGTTTGGTCTATTGATTTACTTGCCAATACCATCATGCCTTCACCATGGTAGCTTCATAGTACATTTTGAAGTCAGATTGTTCTCCTGCAGTACTGTTTTAGCTGTTCAGGGCTTCACAATTAGCTTGTCGATATTCCAAAGTAACTCACTAGGTTTTGGATGGGATCACATTAACTCTATAGATTAAGTTAGGGAAAACTGACATCTTGACAATATTGTCTTCTATCCATTCCTTCATCAGAGTTTTATAGTTTGCTCATATCGTTCTTATATGTAACTTGTTAGTCATATACTTAAGTCCTTAATTGTTAGTGAGTACTGATGTAAACTGTAATGTGCTTTTAATTTCAAATTCCACTTGCTCATTGCTAGATGAATAAGAATGTAATTGCCATCTTAATGTATATTAATTTTTACTGTGCATCCTTATATACTTGCTTACTTATTGGAATTTTTTATTGGTTTTCTCAGATTTTCTACATAGACTTTGTCATTCATGAAAAAGAGCAATTTTGTGGGAGGGGCACTGGGGATTGAACCCAGGGCCTTGCTCATACCAGACAAGCAGTTCCCACTTAGTTACCTCCTCAGTCCTCGTTATACTATTTTTTAAGGCACAGTCTTATGAAATTGCCCAGGCTGGCCTTGAACTCATGATCCTCCTGCCTTAGTCTCCCAAATAGCTAGGATTACAGGCATTATCATGCCCATTCCAGAGCCTCTGCATTGAATTATAACCCCAGCTCTTTTTAAATATTTTATTTTGAGACAAGTTCTCACAAAGTGGCTAAACTGCCTAGGATGGGCTTAAACTGGCAATCATCCTGCCTCAATTTCTAAGAGTACACTAACTACACCAAGCTTCCTTCACAATCTTCTTGCCTTTTATTTCCTTCTTTTGACTTTTGCATTAGCTAGGACTTCTAGTTCTACTTTGCAAAGGAGTGATAAAGAGGGTTCATTGTTCCTGATCTTACAGAGAAAGTTTTGAATAGAATTCTCAAGGTTCGGTGTGATGTCAGCTGTAGAGTTTTTGTATAAAGTTAAAGAAGTTCCTTTCCTTCTGTTCCTGGTTTATTGAGAATTTTTTTCAAAGTTCACATCAGATGGGTAATATGCTGACTTCATATCAAGGTTTGAGGGAGGCACATCTCATGCACACAGCATGAACACCTAATCATTATGCTCATGAACTGAAAGATTTTCATCATGAATGTATATCAGATTTTGTTAGATATCTTTTCTAGACCCATTGATCCAACCACGTGATTTTCATTCCTTAGCATGTTGATGTGACAAATTATATTTGTTGAATTTTTGAATGTTGAATCAGCCTTATACACCCAGGGAAAACAATGATGGTACGTAATTATATTTATGTATTGTTAGATTCAATTTGCTAAACATTTTGTTGAAGTGTCTTGTTTTGTTTTGTTTTTTGGGGTACCAAGGATTGAATTCAGGACTTTGTGCTTGCAGGGCAGGCAAGGTGCCACTGAGCTAAATCCCCAGTCCTTGTTGAGGTTTTTTTGCATTCATGTTCATTATCTCAAGAGTCAGAATGAGTCAGAAAAGTATTCCCTCTGTTTATATTTTCTGGAAGTTACTGTAGAGAACTGGCAATATATCTTCCTTTAATGTTTGGTAGAATTCATCAGTAAACCCATTTGGGCCTAATACCATTTTGCGGGGAAGTCGGGACTTGGTACTGAGCCAGAGCCTCACACTGAGCTACATCACCACTGGCTTGTGCCTCCAACCTAGGCATGGTTGATCATACCTGTAAACCTAAGACCCTAGAGCCTGAGGCAGGAGAATCACAAGTTCAAGCCCACATTGGACAATGTAGGGACCTTAGTATAACCCTGTCTCAAAAATTTAAAAAAATGAAAAAAGGTTAGGAGATGTAGATTCAGTGCAAAGGCCCTGAGTTCAATTCCCAATATCATAAATAATAAGTGGTCCACTGCATCTAGGTTATCATTATTTGTGGCCACAGAGCTTGTTTACAATATTCTTTTATTACCCACTTAATGTCAATGGGATATGTAACGACGAATCTTCTTATATTTCTGGTGCTAGTAATTTGTGTCATCTTTTCCTTATCCCAGTTCAGAGGCTTATTTATTTATTTATATTTTTAAGGAACCAGCTTTTGGTTTTTGTTGATTTTCTCTGATACCCTGTGTTCAATTTCATTGATTAATGTTTGTTCTCCTTACTTGGAATTTAATTTTCTCTTTTTCTAGTTACCTACATGGAAGTTTAAATTATTGACATTAGGTCTTTCTTCTTTCCTAATAACATGCATTCAGTGTTATAATTTCCCTCTGTGCACTGCTTTTGCCACATATAAGTTATGATATAATAATTTCATTTCCATCTAGTTCAAAATATTTTAATATTTTAAGTATACTGAAATTTTTTCCTTAATCCATGTGTGCTTTGGAAGTGTGTTGTTTAATCTCTACATATTTGAGGGATTTCCAGTTATCTTTCTGTTACTGGTTCCTAGTTGAATTCCACTGTGGTCTGAGAGTAGACACTGAACAATACTACTCTCTTAAATTTGTTATGGTGTGTTTTGTGGCCCAGAATGTCATCTGTCTTGGTGAATTTTCCAAGTGAGCCTGAGAAGAATGTCAATTCTGTTGTTTTTGGATGCAGTAGCTTATAGATGTCATTTACAGCCAGTTGATTAATGGTATTATTGAATTAAGCTATGTCTTTACTGACTTTTTGCCGGCTGGATCTTTCCATTTCTGAAAGACTGGTGAAGCCTCCAACTATAAAAGTGGATGCATGCGTCTCTCCTTGCCAGTCTATTAGCTTTTACCTCATATATTTCGATACTTTGTTGTTAGGCACATGGACCTTAAGGACTGCTATGTCTTCTTGGAGTGTTGATCTCCCTATCATTATGTAATGCCTTTTTTAATCTTTGGTAACTTTTTTCACTTTGCAACCTACTCTGAAATTAATTCGGCTACTTCTACTTTGATTAGTGTCAGCATGATTTTTTCCTCCACCCCTTTTCATTTAATTTTATATTTAAAGTAGATTTCTCGTAGACAAGATATAGTTGGGCTTTTTCAATTCACTTTTATCACCTGTTTTTTTAATTGGTCTATTTAGACCATTCACATTTGAAGGAATTATGATACAGCCAGGATAATGTTTTCTATTTGTTGCCCTTATTCTTCATCCCTATTTTTGCCCTCCCTAGCCTCTGGTGATTTGACTTGAGTTTTGGATGTGTTCTGGTTTTGTCTGTGCAATATTGAGGGTTGAGCCCACAGCCTTCACAATGCATACTGACCTACATCCCCAGCATTTTTTATATTTTGAGACAGGGTCTTGCTAAAGTCACTAAATTGCCAGTGTTGGGCTCAGATTTATAATCCTCCTGCCTCAACCTCTCGAAATGCTGGGATTACAAGCGTGCACCACCACAATGGCCTAAATGAGCATTTTAATGATTCTATTCTTTGTTAATACACCAGTTATACTTCTCTTAATTTTTATAGTTTGTGAAGTACACTTAAAACTAATTCACATTCACTCTCAGTGCCATTATACAGGTAGTATGAGTACCTTCCAATAATAAAATCCAATTCCTCCTTCTCATGCCTGTATCATTGCTGTCATTCATTTTTTATATGGAAGCATACATAAGTACAAAAACATATATAATCAAGTAATTGTTATTATCTTTAACAAACTTATCTTTTAGATTAATTAGTAAAAAAAGTAAGTTTTTATTTTACCTTTATTTATTCTCCAATGTTCTTCCTTTATGTTTTTTGCCATCATTTTCTTTCTTCCTGAAGAACTTCTAACCGCTCTAGTAAGGCAGGTCTGGTAGCACAAACTCCCTCAATTTTTACTTGTATGAGAAAGTGTGTGTGTGTGTGTGTGTGTGTGTGTGTGTGTGTGTGTGTGTGTTTGCATATTACTGGGGGTTTAATCCAAGGCCTCACACACTTTACCACTAAGCTACTTCCCCAGCCCCTATTTATTTATTTACTTCTTTATTTATCTTGCTAAGCTGCCCGGGCTGGCCTTGAACTTAAGATCCTCCTGCCTCAGCCTCCCAAGTAGCTGGGATTACAGGTATGCACCACCATACTCACTTCTCCTTCATTTCTGAACAATAGTTTTGGAAAAATTATATGTTAGGGGTTCGTCTATCCCACCCCACCCCCTGGCTCTCCATCTTTTTCCACATTCTACTCTACTCTTCTTGCAGTTTCTGAAGATACGTTAGATTGATCCCTATCATTCTTTTTCTATAGGTAAAGTGTTTTCAACAGTTTTTCCTCAGACGATGAAGTTTTGTTGTTGTTGTTGTTGTTTGTTTTGGTTTTGGTTTGGTTTTTTTGGTACCAGGGATCGAACTCAATACCTTGAGCTTGTGAGGCAGGCAGCACAACCACTAAGCTAAATCCCTGGCCCGCATGAAGTTTTAATATGATATACCTATGTGTAGTTTTTTGTTTTGATTTGGCTTTTTGCATTTATCCTTTTTGGAGTTTTCTGAGCTTCATAGGTCTACACCTTACTGTCTAGCATTAATTTGATAAAATTCACAGTTATTATTGCTTCAGACATTGCTTCTGATCCTTTCTTTATTCTTTTAGTATTCCCATCATGCATATGTCACATGATTTTTATGTGTCCCACATTTCTTTTAAATTCCTGGTTTGGGACCTCGGGTGTAGTTCAGAGGTAGAGCACTACCCTAGTATGTTCAAGGCCCTGGTTTGATCCCCAGCACTGAAAAAAAAAATCCTGGTCTAATAATTCCAACACTTTGGGCTATAATTGAATCTTGTTTGGATGCTTGTTCAAGTCTCTTCAAACTGGATTTGGTTTGGTTTAGATTTTGCCTTTTGTATGTATGACTTGTAACTTTTGTTGAAAGGCAGACATGATAGTGAATAAAAGAATTGTGGTGTAAGTGATGTGGTTGTACGTTTGAGAGGTGGGTACATTATTTAGTCCTATGATTAGATCTTAATATTTTGGTTAACTTCTGTGTCTAGACTGTGAACTTCAAATTTCTCAGTCTCTCCCCTTTAGGTGAAACAGGATAATAACTAGATGGATCTAGAGGTGGGTTATTTCTTTTTCCTCAGATAAGTTAGGCCAGCAGTTTAGGCACTGGTAAAATAACTTCTCCTAAGGGCAGGTCTCGCCAAGAATAGAACAGTCTGGTGTAGTTTAAAATGCTTCCTTTTACTCTCCCCAGCTCCCAGCACAAGGATTTTCCTCCAGTATTTACTGGGAAGATTTGGTAGAATTCCTAGGGATACAATCCACAGTCAGTGGTGTGTGGGAGGGACTAATGACTGTGTCTCCTTGTTAACTCTTGGACTTGTCCACACTGAGTCTCCAGTGATTTGTCAATTACAGTTTGGGTTTTCCTATCTGGACACTGGTTTCTCCAGAGGAAACCAGGTTTCTACTTGTGGATGTCTGCTTTAATGCGCTGTGATTCTGTGTATCCACCAGCCTCGGAGAGTGGGGTGCAGTTTTCCCTTTGGTTTTTCTCTCTCTCTGGTGGATCTGGAAGAACTGATTTTTCAGTTCAGATTTTTTTCTTATTGTTAGGTCAGAGTGGTAACTTCTAATCTCCTTACATCTTGGATTTGTTTTAAAACTAACTTTTTCAAGTGTCATCTATATACAATAAAATACATCCATTTTAACAGACCCATTCTATGAATGTTGATAAACAAATAGGTTTGTATTTCCTGGGTTATTTTTGTTTGTTTGTTTTTTTGGTACCGGGGATTGAACGCGGGTCCTTGCGCTTGCGAGGCAGGCCACCAAACCACTGAGCTAAATCCCCGGCCCTACCTGGGTTATTTCTAAAGCTTCCTGAGTGGTCTATACACAGCCAGAGTTGAGAGCCACTGCTCTATCACTCTTTTTTGCCCACTGTAGTCTGGGGAGTACAAATTCTAAGTATTCCATATCTTTTTGTTCTTGGATATAAATACCGTTCCTCCTCAAGAGCCTGAATTTGCTTACTCCTAATGTCATGAAATCAGGCTCAAAGTGGAGGCAGGACATGTATTTGGATGGTAAAGTAATTCACTTATCCTTCATATATCTATTGAAGCTGTACCCATTTTCCAGAACTGGCCCCTCCCACTGTAAGGGCCCCTTTCTGCCCTCTACCCACCTTTCCCAGCAG